GAGGGAGCTGCGGACCTGGCTGCTCACGGACCGCAGGCGCCGCCTCCCCCATCGACCCTCTCCCTGGGCTTTCGGATGCTGCAGCCACCTGGTCCCACAACCTACCCCACCTCTCCTTTCTTTGCTGCCGCCTGTTTCCGCCAGGAGCCTGTCTTCAGGGCTCCAGGAACTTTGTCAATGTTATTATTGTGAGTACAGGAGGTAGGGACGGCGTCCTTTCTGTACTTGGTCTTTGGAAATTGACACCTTGATTTGATTCAGAGCACAATCTGAGTGTCCCAGCCTGAAGGACCTCCCAGAAATGCAAAGCAGCAGCAGGGTCTGTGTGTGCTTGTGTTTGGGGGAAGGGTAATGTGAGGTCCTGTGTGTGTGTGTGCGTTTGCCTGTAACAAACTGAAATGCCTGCTAATGTCTTTGCAGCTCCTAGAATCCTAAAATATCTCCATTTAATCAATAAAGAGTAATGCCAAAAATACAAATAACAATTAAGTAATACTACTCCCAGAATACTTTGTTTTCTTACAGAAAATCTAGCCCTTGTGCCTCTGACAGTAATACCTGAGACTGAGTAATTGTTAATCATAAAAAGTGAAAACTTTTAGGTAATATCTGAGAAATTAGTTATGACAGATTATATTTTCTGAAAATGGCTGCAACAATTTCACTCATCCCACATGCTCTACCTGTCATATGACTTTGACGTTCCCTTCTCTTAATCTGGGCAGAGTGTTGCTGTGACAGAAGTGATACTATGTGACCTCTGAGGTAGGATGGCAGAAGACCATACAAGTTTTGCCTGGTTCTCTTCGGACACTTGCTTTGGAGCTCAGCCATCCTACCATAAGGAAGAGGAACACAGGCCCCCAGAACCTAGCCCCAGCTGAGCTCCCAGCTGACAGCCAGTGGTAACTTGGCAAGTGTTTGAGCACTGTGATCAAGCTGTCTCTCCAATTGGGATGCTCAGCCCCAAGTGGAGCTGTACCAGCAGATGTCAAGAGAAACAGAGAAAAGCTGGTCCTGCCAGGTTCTACCCAAGGGCAAATTCCTGAGCAACCCGAATGTTGTTTTAATTCACTGAGTTTGAAGCTGGTTTGTGACAGTGATAGAAAACTGATACACTTAATTGTTCTACAAACCTTCACAAAGAGGTTATTCAACAATCCTCTTTCCCAAAACTATTGCAAATGCAAATGTAAAAAAAAAAAACAAAAAAAAAAACAAGTAAGCCTTTGATACCAGGTGGAAGAAAGAATGAGAAAATGTCCTGTCATCAGAGGACCCTGGGAAGTTCATAGGCATGTTTGCCTATGACTTATTCTTGGAACCCAGGATTATACCCTGATATAAAAGTGACACCTCCTGACTAGCTGTGGTCTCTAAATTAAAAAAAGAGGAACCAGAACCTTTCCACATCTCTCCATCAGGACCAAAAAAGGCTCTGTGGGAGACCAGGACTGTCATTCCTCTCTCTTTGAATGGTTTTCAAAGGTTTGCAGGATTATTTGCTTAAGGTTTTCTCTCCAAGTTTTGCTAACTTTCTTTCTCAGTCTAAATAAGTTAGTGGGAATTCCTCAAGGGCAGGAAGACGTTAAAACATAAACAGATTCCTATCCAAATACAGGACCAAAAATGACAAGAGGAAAAAAAAATGTCAGTGGATTTCCATGCTAAGGGATAAAACTAATTTTGAATGAATGCACTTAATTATCTAATCCTAGATTATTATTAACCTTGCATAAGCCCAAATTGTTCATTAATTTGAAACACTGCTGATTTTTTTTGGTCTCTCCAAAAAGATTAGACCTCCCACTTTCCCAGGCACACTGACACCAATTTTCTTAAAAAGGAGTGTTTGAGATCAACTTGATGTCAATTTACTGAGACCTAGAAGTTTTTTTAAAGCCTTTCGTTAGGTATTCATTTGAGAAAAGGGCTAATCAGATGTCAATTAAATTCACTTCAATTTCTGACATTATTACATTTAGTTTTATACATTTTTACCACCCATTGACCTGTGTCAATAAACAGAATAAAAATATCACAGATTCTCCAAATCAATCCCATTTAGTCTAATTAGATGTGTTTTTAATCCATAAACCCACTAAATTTTCTCAATAGACTTAATTGATGAAATTGAAATGAATAAGCATTTAATAGGAAAACCATTGATGCTATGAGCCAAGAAGTGGGTATAGTCATGCAATTTCTACAATGGATCTGTCAATTATGCATGAGAAAAATATACCTTAAAGTTAGTTTTTTCACCGTTAGAATTGCCACCACCCTAGTTGAATCTATCCTCAATTATAATTGACAACTGCAGTAGCTACACTGATGCTCCATCTGCCTCCATCATTACTTTGCACCAATCCTCTTTCTGTACAATCATCTCCAATATGGGTTATCTTAACAGGGCAATAAACTCAGGATAAAGATAATAGATATTTTATGTAGATTTACTTTTGTATAAAAAAGATAAGAGAAAACTTTCATTAACCTTCAAATATTTAATTATTTCATTTGATGACTTCAGTACATATATAACTTAAAAATGGTAGGTTCAAACTCCCAATCTAGCACTTGGGTTGGAATGGACTGGGAGAGGAAACATATCTCCCAAATTTTATATAGGAATTGCTCAGTCATGATTTTGAGTTACTTCTCAAAGCATACACAATTATATGTCTAATCAGATGATCCCCACTAAACCGAACTGAAGTTTTCATCATTTCTGGTTACTTCTTGTAGTTCTCATAATAAACATTAAAAACATTTTTATTTAACTTGTAATGTCTTCTTATGAATATATTGGCAATATTATTTGCCAA